GTGGGTAAGGCCCTATTTGTAAGTGGCCCTTGTATTCCTCCGCTAAGCCGAAGACAAATTGCGGAAGCGAATGTGTACGTTGCCAGATCTCACCAAATATCGTACATCATATGTAAATTAAACTTTCAATATTTACACTTAAGATGATACATTAAAATTTGTAGAAGAAATCTTTAATCACAGAGTTAAACGACTGATTGCTACGACAAAAATCTCAACGTATTTTAACGGCAATGTTTTTTCGCATTTTAAGTAATGCTTATGCAATGTATGGTCCGTACTTCATATACAATTACTCATTTAGCTGTTACAAATAGATAATTTATTAATTAATAAAAACATTTTTAATTACTTCATTTTACCGTATTGCTCGGCGTATTATTAGACTAGTATTGCTCCGTAAGCTCGACCGATTAAAAACCACGGTCTGACAAAAGATCGGCGTGGAGTACTATTAATTGTCTTTTAAGTATTTGAAGTATTTTACTGTGGTAGGGCTGCGCAGCAACTTCTGTTCTTGCATAAATGGAGAATGTGATACTTCCCCAGGGTCATCTGGGGAACCCTGAGCGGCAGGCATGGAGGTGTCTGTCGCTCAATATGTGAAGTGTGCGTGCCAATTACACCGGCACAGCACTATGTAGTAGGGGAGGCCTAAAAGGCTATAGACGCGCCGGGGTCGTGGAAGATTGCGGCCAAGTGTTCCCGTGTCCCCGGCAAATGCGACAGAGACAGGTGCAAAGTGGGTTTTTTAGTGGGTACCCGTTCTTACTGGGACTCCCAAATACCCCTGCCACTCCCCCGATGAAGTGGCAGGGGATCCATAGAGGATTTATCCCACGGAAAAAAATGGGTCTTCTGGAGATGTGCCACAGCCCCACAGATGACGGACGTGAATATGACAATAGTTTAAAATTATAGATGATAGAATAATTAATGATACCTTCCTTAATAGTGATACCCCAATTATTATTTACGTATAATTAAAACCACATTCTAATCTAAATACCTATTAACTTACCTATAATAGTGTGTTCTGTATTAGATCAATTAACCGTTCTACCACAATGCCAAAGACAGGGCGTTTCATCAATTAAAGTAAACAATGTAGTTTATTGACAGTTTTTAATTTAATTAAAAATGATCTCATTTTAACGGGTTTTTTTATAATGGTTCGATGTTTTGCATTTCATATTTGTATTCCTTTATTACTGTCAGTCCTTAGAGCACACAAAATCCAATTATTTTATAACATTCCTGCAATAAATTATGAACTTTGGTCTTGTTTTGACTCTAAAGAATTTTAATGATTTTTATAAAATACTTTAGCATAAAGGTGATAAATGTAAATGACATAGCTATTACTAATATAAATGAACATCGTTGTACTGTACATTAAAAAGCTTGCCAAAATATAACGACATGTGTAAAACTCGTAACTACCAATACTGTTGCATTATCTTTTACCCGCTCCACACTCTCGCTAATATTTATGTGATCGCGTGTGCATTGTGCAGTACTTTGGGAATTTTTTTGCTCAATAAGTTGATATGTCGCAATAACAAAATGATTTTTTCGCATACAATGTAATACAAACGATCTCTGCAAGTTGACGACCCTTATTCCGAAAACCCTACACTGGTAACGACTTCACGTTTTTACACGACTACAGATTAAATCGATGATTTGTGACATTCGGAGTATTGAATCACACTGAAGTGAAATGCACACAAAGAAAAATAAATAATAGTTTAAAGAGTTAAAAACCACCCTTTAAAAGCCGATAAAAATTAATAAATAAATTTTTATATAATTTTTTATCTTTTTAGTTCAGTTTACCGCTAAAGCTTATTTTTTAGTTATTCAAACTATATTTTTTTTTATTATTTTTTAAAACTTGTGTTGTCACGGGCCGTTGATCAGGGTACTAAATTGCAAATTAATCAGATGTTTTGAAATGGGTAAAAATAGCGCTCTAAGAATCCACACACACGTAGTTAACGTCAGATAAGGCGTGTAAGAAATATGATTACAACAATGGATATCATATACAAATACGAGGTAGATATGATACTAACGCACCGAAACTGAGGCACTCAAATTATGCCAATCCAAAAAGGAGTAATTAGATTACATTTCTATCGACTGCTATCTCTTTCTGTATCATACGTTTGATATCATCTGTCACATTAACTTATAATTGTCACATAAATGAAAGCGGAACAATTTCTAAACGCCGCACAGTATGGACATGCGTCATCTTCATTAAAACATCATTGATTAAAAACAATGTGTCACGATACCTTGACAACTCTTCCTATTTACGATATTATTGTATAATCGCCGAAATATCTCAAAAATGTAATTAATATCACGAATATGTAATTAATGTACGATAACGTGTTGTATACATTAAAAAATACTAAGAAAACATATACAAAGGATACAGAACCGTACTAATAAATCATCATCACCATCCTCATTATCTCAACCTGTTCGAGTCCACTGCTGAACATTGAGCCAACCCACAACGACAATCGACAACCGACATAAAGAACATTTATAAATAATAAGATATAAATAAGTTTTAATTTTACCTTTACTTAATACATTCTCATACTTCTTCTTTTTCATAACTTATGTACGTTACACTCTTGAGAGTGTTTGGGGTCAACTTGTGACATTATCGAGGGGGCAATATGACCTATATTGCTCCCTACATTGTCTCACCATTCATTCCTGTCATCCAATATTGTGACTTAATCTGAAAAGAAAATCGTGACAAATAAATAAATAACAGCAACATCTTTCTAAAATCTTCTATAAAATTTCACTGATGTCAATTTTAAATTTTCAAACTGAGAGTTTCACACTAAACAACTACAAAACAAATAACAACTTTATCAAGTCCAAAGTCTCAAGTTAGCCTTCTTGTACCTAGGGATGGAACATCGTTCTTTAAAATATCGATGTTGGAAAACATAGATATTTATAAGAACGTTACCTTAAAGTGTCATTACTAGAGATGTAACATATCTCTAGTAATAACACTTTAAGGTACATATTTTCCGTCTGCTGAACATCATCTATTTTATTATAAGATTAGATATTGCTTGGTAAACAATATCTAATATCTCGAGAATCATTGTTTCAGCTGATTCAATTAAACAACCTAGTTTACAAAAACAACAAAAAAGTGCAGACTATTTACTTTGAGATCTTGTTTCATGTCAAGCAATTGAGAATGTATAATTATACTTCGTTGCTGCATCCTAGGAGATTTAATAAACCATGTAGTCCGTTTTCTGTTGTACTGCATCATCACACGAATTTTAGAATATTTTATAAAAATAAATAAAAAAGAAATGAAAAAACAGGATATCCGTTGACTAACATAGACAATGTTGGCTCCCATGACTGGCCGAGTGCTCATTCGTTTTCCGTGTGTTGCATCATCCGCGCGCGAAATATATCAAATATATCATATAGTGAAATAATTTAGTTTTAAGTGAATTTAAAGTGAAGAATGGGGAAAAGAACAAATGGAAAAGTGACGACGAGATTATAAACAAAAATAAGGCGTTTAGAAAACGAGTTAATGTCTCGTCAACGACCGCAACATAAATTTGTAAATGAGGGTAAGTACACCGCGCCACCGAGATTATATTGTTTTAACGTTTAACGTGATAAATTTTAAGAAAAGACGATTCCACTCAATATACATTTATTACATGTGGTGGCATGCGATGTCACTCGGAGATATCGTTGTTTGCAATGATATTATATACAAATAGGAGTTAGATATGACAGTAGCGCACCGAAGAAATCGAAGCACTCAAATTACACCAATTGGTGTAATTAGATTGTGATTCTATAGACTTCTTTATAGACTTCTTTATTTAAGCATTTTTAAGCATGCAGTATTGCGCCATCCGTATCATTGTTTTTTTTACGTTGACACGCAATGTCACTCTGAAAGCAAAATTAACTTAATAAATATTATATTGCCGAGTAGCGATTTCCTAAGTAGTGGCACGCGATGTCATTTGGAAATGCTACCTTACAAATCTTAAGTGCTGGCACGTGATGACACCCAAGATGTAAATGTGAATCTGATTAAATTTTGTTTCATCAGATTTGGACACATTATGTATGTCATATAATGTTAAGCGGAACAATTTTGAAACGTCGTGCAGTATGGACCTACGTTATCTTTATTATTAAACATCATCGATTGTTTTGTTTGATTTTACCTTCTTAATTTGATGGCAAGCGATATCACTCAGAAAGCAAAAGTTAATTTAATAAATAATATATTGCTAAATAGCGATTTCCTAAGTAATGGCACGCGATGTCATTCGGAAATTCTACCTTACATTCTCAAGTGCTGGCACGTGATGTCACCCAAGATGTAAATATGGAATCTGATTAAATTTGGTTTCAACAGATTTGGACATACATATGTCATATAGTGTTAAGCGGAACAATTTGGAAACGTCGCGCAGCATGGACATGCGTTATGTTTATTATTAAACATCATCGATTGTTTGTTTGATTTTACTTTCTTCATTTGATGGCAAGCGATGTCACTCAGAAAGCAAATAAACTTTATAAATTAATAGCTGTTGCCCGCGACTACGTCTGCGTAGAATAGGCTGAAGGCGTAAGATTCAGACAGAAAGACATGTACATAAAATATGTTCCGCTGTAAAAGCTATATTATTGTAAAGTTTCATTAAAACCCATTCAGTAGTATTATTATATGAAAGAGTAACAAACATCCATCCATACATACAAAATTTCGCATTTATAATATTAGTAAGGATTGCTAAGTAACGATTTCCTAAGTAGTGGCACGCGATGTCATTCGGAAATACTATCTCACATTCTTAAGTGCTGGCACGTGATGTCATCCAAGATGTAAATGTGAAGCTGGCTAAATTTGGCTAACGACTCCTACGAGGATGGCAAATTTAAAGCATACGACGTGAGACGCAGTAATGTGGGCACCAGCGACGAGGATGTTCCTGAACACTGAACAGATAGAATCAGTTGTTCAAGTGCCTGCAACTACGCCCTCTTGCGTGTCGTCGGGGCCGGAATATGCATTTGAAGAAGTTGGCGAACAGCAAGCGCCTACTATCCCTACTGAAGGTGAGAAAAATGCTTTCCCTTTGGACATCTAGGTAGTACTTGTAGAGGCCAAAAATCTCTGAACGTTGGGGAAAAATATTGATCGAAGGCGTTTATAAAAGATGCAAAAACCGACTAGGTACCGATATCGCAGAGCTAGTAGCCAAGGACCTCAGTCAAATAGATATTATCAAACAAATATCCGGGATAAATCAGATCCTACTCTATGAAGAGACAATGAATCGTAGACTGCTAATTATTCCAATGTTGAATAAAAGTTTATTAATATAATCCAAGGCGTGAAACGTGAAAAATTTATCTTTGGTGATACTTTAGGCAAAATCATTAAAGTTACCAAATCAATTGAAATTGGGTACACCCACAACTGTCTACATCGCGAAAGTACCGAGCGACCCTCTGTCAGCCGAGCGAGCAGGGGGTGATGCGCCGCACCCCGTGCGCAGTCTCGCTACTATATGCCATTGCCGCCGGCTGCGCCGAATGCGCCCCGTCGCCAGCCGCCAGCCGGGCCGGCCGTAGCATCGGCGCAAGCGACGTTAGAGGTACCACACGTTGGTCGTATATCAAAGTCAAAATCAAAGTATCTTTATTCAATATAAGCTTGACTTAAGCTCTTATTGAACGTCAACAAAAAATCTACCACCGGTTCACTAAACTAGACCTATACAGAGAAAAACCGGTAAGAAATTCTGCGGTCTTGTTCTGCTTGCTATTTTTTTTTTCTTTTGTGATGCAATTATACAAACTTATTTGGGTATTAAATGAGCAGCAGCCAGAGGTCTTGCAAGTGCAGAGCAGGAGTCATTTCCACACATCCTTGTCCTCAATGTATTCTTGGACATTATAGTAACTTGCCATTAGTTTGGCTTTTACAAATTGTTTGAAATTGTTTATACTTGGTTGTTTCTGGATGTCACCTATTTTATTATAAAAGTTGATGCATCTACCAAGAAACGACTTTCTGGTTTTAGCCAGTCTAAACCTCGGTACTTCAAGAGTGTCACCACAGCCCCGACGTCATGTGGAATGTTTATTCGTAAATAGGTGGATATGTACGTACATACATGATGTTCTCAAGTATGTAAAGTGACGGGTAGTAACCAATTGTGTACATAGTATCATTACTATGTACACAATTGGCTAAATATTATAACTACCGATTCCCAAATATTGGATTATAGTAAATGGTTATAAAGTAATGTTCACTGGAACACCAATTCAATTTTTGGAATCACGTTATAACCGTGCTCTAAAACGGAAATGTCAAATTCGATCGAAAAACTTAAACAGTTAGGAGAAATTGTAGTAATGTACTCATATTGCGGTTCAATTTATTTTACCTAATTTTTTTTCCTAATTTCGAAAAGTAACTGTCCATATAGATTAATACTTCATTTGAAAGCACTGAATAAGTTTATACTACAAAATAGTACATAAAAATGGTCGATATGTTTATACTCGTGCACAAATCCTATAGGAAGTGTTTTATTTATTTATTTAAAAATGTTTTGCAAATAAAACGTACAATTCCGGACTTAACACCATTAGGTGTTCTCTACCAGTCAACCAAAAATAAGTATCTCTTTGCGTCTCGAATGAATAAAAAGTGATCAAATTTTGTATCATGAAAACGAGATCCAAATGCCTTGAATATACTACTGCTATATAATTACTGCATTTACTCTGAGATGGGAAAATTTAATTAATATATTATTATATTCTGTTTTCCCTCCTTTTACAATCATATAAAAATACTTAGGAAAAATTATTAACTAAGAGGCGACCGGTATAACGGTAGTAACCTTAATGGCCGAGTCAGCCTTGATTCCTGCTATACATGTTTCTTACTAGATCCAAAGTATTTTACTTTGGGCCAAACAAAAACATGTTATTCTCTCTTTCCAGAACGGGGCATTCTTTATGGCCCAGCCTTATCATGGAGTGCATAACGTTATCCGAGAAGTGTTCATTCTACAATAATTTGCTAATGAGACCGTTGATATTACTATTTATTTTGTTGATATTACTATTGATCCAATCACTATCCAATATTCAACAGTATATATAACACGGCATACAAATTTTGGTTTGCATTTGTCAATTTTATATACAGGATAGCGACTTTGTTTTATATTATGTAGGGAAGAACAACCGGACAGTTGCCCAGCAAAAGCTCTATCAACTTACATAAATAAGGCAAGAGCCTTGCGATAAAAGAATCTTGGATAGAATTTTTTTTATAACTGTTAAAAAACCCATCCGAATAGCAAGTTCCCAAACGAAAAGCCATTGGGTTAAACAAGTATACCTTAAGAATATGGGTGTTGATATAAACATACATTTAGCACATATATCACGCGACAAGCGTCCACATCGGCAGCGAATTGCGCTGTTGTGTCTCTAGACGTGATAAAACGCGCGGCCGGATGGACCGGCTCCTCCTTCTTCTGCCTTGCAAAATTTCTGTAACTTACGTTTACCAGACATTCAAAGAGATAAAACTTTCGCTGACGATTTCGATTTAGACATGTAGATCACAGTATAGACGTATGGTTATACATAATGAATAAGGTGATTTTCTGGTATATGTCCTATAGAGAATAATTGTAATATACTGGATTATTTTCATGATCCGTTGTTTGTATCATTCTGCAATTGAGCGCTAAACATCTACATGGTTTATTAAATCTCCTAGGATGCAGCAACGAAGTATAATTTATGGTTAATTGAACTTACCTTAAGTGAACTTCAACCATAATTATACTAGTTGCTGCATCCGTAGAGATTTAAGAACCCACCCTTCCCTGAACAAAATTCCCCAAATAATTGCAGACTTTAGTAGGTATTGCTGTATGTATGTGTGCTCTAAAACGAATGAGCACTCGGCCAGTCATGGGAGCCAACATTGTCTATGTTAGTCAACGGATATCCTGTTTTTCATTTCTTTTTTATTTATTTTTATATAATGTTCTAAAATTCGTGTGATGATGCAGTACAACAGAGAACGGACTACATGGTTTATTAAATCTCTACGGATGCAGCAACTAGTATAATTATGGTTGAAGTTCACTTAAGGTAAGTTCAATTAACCATAAATTATTTTTGTTTTAAGTGCTAGACTAGCACACTAGCAATCTGAAGTTTTGTATATAAATTGTCAATAAATTAATAAAGTTATGTTTGAAGGTGCCTCCCTATGGTCTCAAATCTTGAGAAGATAAGAGATTTTATAACATTCTAAGTTCATAGCGGGCTGTAGTGTACATACAGCACATGGCATAGTCCAATAGCGATATTTTAATTAGGTTATAATTTGTTTCATTCAAGTAATATAATTTCAAATCGAATGATATTTGTAACATCCTAATATTTGCTATGTTACGAGCCAGCGCTTCCTAGAATGTTACTTTTGCAGTGCGTTAATATCCATTTATGTCTCCACAGGGTAAATACATTAATGCTATTTTATGATTTACCTTTATAACGTGATGTGAGTATTCAGCACAGCTTTTGTGTATTCGACACATATTTGGGAGAGCTTTAAGAGATTTATGATCCCAAAGTAAAACTAGTCATCACACATTAATCAGATTCTTTACTAGAGATTGTGCAGTACACCATGCTACAAAATACTTTGAATAAGAGTGTTTAGATAAAATAAAACAAAAATGTACATATCAAAACGTAATTTGTTTGTTCGATTCCAAATGTCAGGTAAATTTAAAAGGTGTGAAGAGCTAATTTATTATCAATTACTCAGTAGAACCAACTGTCGCCGGCGATTTTGTAAACCTTTATGCCTGGGGACCTTCAAGAAGAAAGCATATTCTTTCACGATAGGCTTGCAACGGATTTGCAAGCCCTCCGGTGTTCCAGATGTTCATGGGCGGCGGTGATCACTTTCGATCAGGTGAGCCTCCAGCCGGCTTACCTCCTTTTTCCTAAAAAAAAACATCCGTACACTTGTAGTTTGCTAATATGGCTATCATAACACCCTCGAAAGCTTTGACTTTTACTTTAAGTGTACACTTGTTAAAGGAAAACATCGTAAGAAACTGCATATTTTTGAAATAATTAATAAACAAAATGTTTCAAAAATATGTAGTCTATGTGCCGATAACCTAACTGGTTTCAACAGCGGATGCAAAGAACCTGTACTGTAACGTTTGGACCAGAGAACAGTACCTAAGCTCTGCTGCTAAATGATCAAGTTTCTACCTGCGCTTAAACTTTGAATAACTACGGTCGCTTTCATATCTAGCATTTTGTTTTCCTTCTTCTAGTTTCGTGAATGAGTTCTCGAATAGTTTGCAGTTTTTGGAACAAACAATAAAAATAATCCGATCTTTTATGATCTTTCAGTGGAAAATAATAAATTACCATTAAATTAATTATAATTGAAATATGAGTTATTATTTTTCGTCAGGGTGTATTTACTTTAACATCTCGAGTAGCATGTCTATAGTATCCGATAATGTATAATTTCGACCAAAAAATTATCAGTTTTTCCCACATCTTTTAAGTACAAAAATACAATTCGCTGCTTTAAAGCCCGAATACATAACAAGATATTATGGTATCTTTGACAAAGAACTCTTGGGGAAATTGTGTCTATAAGTCCTTAATCGCTCGATGATTTTTTTTACGTAAAAAAAGGACTATGCTCCCTTTTTTATGCAAAAAAATATTTAAGGTACCTATTTATTAAATATTCTGTGTATTATCCTTGCCATCAAATCGGTAGAGTGGCAGCGGTAATACATATACTATAAATAATTCATATGTAATACGTACATATAGTGCCTATATGCCAATAGGTACATGTTTCGTAAAATTCTTTCCTGATAGAAAAGATATTTATCTGGACATTTACCTTTTTAAAATTCTTTTTCTTTTAGCTGATGACATGATTTTATTATCCTTTATTTTCAAAAATCTATCCGTGAATGGCAAAAACGAATGCTGTTTTAAAATCTGGACCAGACTTTGTATTTTCATACGGATTAAATCGCCATAGTTTTTATTGTAGTGGAGCCTCTCAACAGCTGTTGTTATATGAATGGTATTTATAACTTTAACGTAACTATAATATTGTGAATAATCTTGATTTCCATGGGCGATAGCTAACCGTGAGATGAATTAACCGTTAATTTGGCACTTGCAATTATAATGGAATTACACGATCTTCCTTCGGCTTGGGCTAGTAACAAAGGAATATAACATCAAATGTTCTGACGAGATATTTGTCGTTGAGCAAATTGTAACGCCCTATAAAGAATAATAAACATTATTATTAATTAATCATAATAAAGATCAATTAAGATGAAAATAAAACGTTTAAGAACGTTTAATCACAATAAAAGTTAATAATATATACTTAAATTAAAGAAATATAAGTGTAAGTATTGGAAAATGATATTACGAAAAATTGATAATAGTTAAAAATCATTTAAAATATTCCTACAACGGGGCAAAGATATATATAAGTCATATATAATGATATACCCAGAAAAGGG